ATATGTAGAAACAGCAAATTTCAACGCAAACAACACGGTGAAGAACCAGCGAGCCAAGAAGATTATTCAGAGACTTCTACATCACTTAAAAGAAGACTGATATTCTACCTAAACACTCCATTAACGTCTGTACAAAGACCAGGAAGACTGCCATTCTATATGAGCTGTCATATACTGTGAAGCATAAAGTGAAAATCACGCAAGCCGAAAGAACATTCTATCTATAAGACATTCCCTGTGCGCTGGAAAACACGAACCACTTCGGGTTTAGCTTTAAAAATTTCTTTAGAAAATGGCTCATCACCGCACTGATTTTAGCACTTGTACAGCGGTAGCTCTTGATTCAAATATCTACTGGATTTCTTCCTTGATAAGCTTGCACGAGGTTGATAAATATATTTATTTTCGGCTAGCGTTTCGACGTCTTCGTCTTCCTCAGAGCCGGTGATGCGAGTCGATGGTCCATGCTTGTTGTTCGCCGCGACGTTGCGTCTTCGCCTTCGTGTCGAGCAAGATCTTCCTCAGTGAGCCATCTTCTCGAATGAGGCATCCTCACTCAGTGATGCCCTTTTATACACGATGCTGATGGTGGATATATAATGACAATGTCCGGTGGTAACAACTTGTATTTCTTCCGGACATACATCATTGCGCACATCGTGCAGAAGTCGGTGTTTTTATCATCAGCTAGCACAAAGCGTAGTAATATTTCGAAACCGACCTTCCCTAAACCTCGGTGTGACTAATCAATATGTATTGTTTCTTGATAAGCTTTATTATTTGATGTGCAATTCTTCTACATACGTTATCGAAGCTGAAATTATTTCCGTTGGTGATGTGACTGCCACCAATCAGTCAGCATAGCAAAAATGATGAAGCTGAACCAGTTACTGATTTCCACTCTCCTGTTGTCTACATTTAGCAAGCATCTAGTGAAATGATGAAGTACTTTAGTGAAATGGTCCTACTAAGGAAAAGTTCTCTTTAAAATCAGTAACAATGTTTGGGTGGAATTTGTTTCTTTATGGAAAATTTTCAAACAGCTCGCAAAGAATGTTAATGCTGTGAATAGTAAATTGTTAATTAGTAGAGGTTTCTGTGAGCAGTGAGAGTTCCACTCATAACATCACGGCTCTGAGGAAGGCTAAATCGCCGAAACGTCAGCCATTGACCAACAACACCAACAGCAACGAAAACAACAACGACAACGACGACGAGGAGCTATATCAACCTCGCATTGGCTCAACAAGATCAGTTTATAAGATCATATAAACAAATATAACAGTAGACTTGTCTATTCTGTGGGAATAGAAGCAATGACTTGACACACCGGTAGCCTACCTCCTCTCCAAAGTAACTGCGTAGACCAAATAAGCTTTCCACCAGCTCTAAGATGCTTGATGGAGGCGAGTACAAGATGTATCCTTACCGGATTGATCAAGGCCGAACGGTTTATTCTTTTATTCTTTATTTTTAAATATAGAACTCTTGAAGACGGTTTCAGACAGAAAACGTGAAAGGTATGCATATTGGAAATGTCACGTGATTTAATAATGGCTTATGTCTCTCATATTTTATGACCTTTTTACACCAGTTGCTCCATTAAAAAAGGTAAAAATAGTCTTAACTCTTTTATTTACTGCCTTTTTTTCTTCTTAATAGCAGGTTATGTTGCGAAATATAACTCGTATGAAATGCTGAGATATTTGCAAAACTCCGGACCACA